ATATTACACATGGGCTTAGTGATTCCCAGACCAGAGTTCTCAGAATGTTTTTCTTTGATCTACCACAGTCTCTATGAACAGTTTGATGTGCCCAGCAACTTTGAGAAAAAACAGCATTTTGTCATCATTTTGGATACTGGACAAAAAGACAGCCTTATTGAACTGAATTTTCAACTGTATGTGCTTGCTTGTTTCTGGTTGGCATTGGATAGGGGCTATACTTTAAAGGCAGAATTTACCATTAAAGCTACTCAATATTCTCCCACTTACCTGAACCTCAGTGATGACAGAAAATCTGTGTACCTTCTAGCACCATGCTCTGGTACTTCCAATATAGTAATTGTAATCTCTGCCACTTTCTCATATCTGAAGTTGACAAATTCACAACAGGCCAATTCAGAATAGCACGATGAGCTGAAGTCTCTGTTGTTTATCCCTGAAGCTACTGTGATTCTAGGAGAGTTTGCTCACATCTGTGAGACCAGAGGGAGCCTTTTCCAAACTCAGCTGACCCAGCGCCCTGCAGCACATAAAAGCCCTCTATGGTATCCATACTGAAACATGGTTTTTAGGGAGAAAATTACCATTGCACAATTGCTGACAATTTAGGGACCTTGAAGTGGAACACCAATTCACACAAGGCTGAATTTCAGTCTTTGGAGCATTACTATTGTTCAGGTTACATAGAGAACTATTGGATTCCTTGCTCAGTGTCATTTATTGGAATAGTGTCTCTTCCTTGGGGAAGCTCATTTATTACTTTGGCTGCACCTGCTTTATTGTTATAAAATTGTATTTACTTAATGTGAACCCAGCAAAGAGAACCACAGCTTATATAATATTAAATAGTAGGAATTAGAGCCCAAGGGATTAATACGAGCAAAATTCTGTACTGAGAGATAAAACTTTCCTGTTGGACACCATACATGACCCATTCATTACAGGGAGTGAATCATGGAATGAAATATTTTCCTCACACTTGTAACAGAAGAGCTAAGTTTTCCAAACTTCCTCAGAAAGTTAAAAAGATTTTATGTGTCTTCAAGAAAGGTCTAAATGGCTAGTTCCATTTGCTGTGAAGTTCATTAGAAGTCATGAGTCAAGCCTACCCGTCTGGTTTGTATTGCATTCCTGACACAAAACATCTGCAAATCTGGCTAAACTGATACTATTTCATGAATTATTGTTGATTAATTCAACTAGTGTTGCCAGCAGCACTGGTTGGCTGTTGACAAAACTATTTCCCCCTCACTGATTAATAAGAGAAATATGTTCTTTGCTTAGCCTTTCATAAATTAAAAAAAAAACAAAAATCTTCCTTATGTTTCTATAACCTGAATTTACCTCATTCCACAGACACTTATAAGAAAATAGTGTGAATTTCTGATTAATTCCAGTACAAAGCCTCATTCATGGTGTCTTAATCAGCATAACAAAACTATCATTATATGTGATTCTTAATTATTTTCTACTCATATTTAAGACTATTCTCCTCTCTTATTTGCATATGATTAAAAGAAGAATATCTTTTTATTATTTTTTATTCTTTCTTTAAAGAGTTTCATGAGAAGAATGCCAATTATCGCAATTAAAATGAAATGTTCAAGCAGAGCTGCTGCCTTCCACATCTCTGGGTGAGACTGCGGAAGAGTTGCTTTAACTGATCTAATGAATTCAGTCTTCAGTATCCCATGAAGATAGTCTTTTACTTTAGCAGCTATATTAAAGGTTTCCTATCAAAAATCACATTAAATTAGGAAATTTATTTGTCTGCATATTCTGAAATGTGCACAGTGATTTCTCCAATTAAGTGACTGACTTTGTATTACACTTTGAACTATTTACACGAACATGCACAAGGTGTTGAAAATCATAAGGATTTCTAGTCTGTGGTTAGAAAAAGCAATGATCTTGCAGGAAAAAGAATCTCTTTATTCTTTGCACTGAATTTTATTGTTTTCTTTGCATACTCACTACTGGTGTTGCACTAAAAAACACTTTGCTGGTAACGTTCACAGAATGGCTGAAGGCTGAGGGCTAATTCAGCTGCTATTAAAGCTGACATGATTTGGACTGAGTCTGATATGATTGGAGTTTGATATAACTCATTTTTTGGTCAGCCCTACCCTTAAGGTCCAATTCAAGTATACAGTGAATTCCATCAAAAGACAGACATTGTCTTTACCTGGGTTGGACTGGGCCCTCAAGGGCACACTAAGAATGTTTACACCACAGGCAGAGCAGCCATATATTTTTTCTTCTTTGAAGAAATAGAGGACTTTAACTTTCAGAAGAGGCAGCTAAGACTGATACTCAATACTGCCATATTAAAAAATAAAAATGTGAAATATTGTTCTCTGAATAAAGCTGGAATCTACTTGTACTAGTTTGGGATTTTTTTTCAGATAAGCTTTTTATACTGATAACCACATCATTTATATTTATGAATGGAGCTGTTTAATTTGGGTCATAAGTTGAAGGAAAGAAATGGCAAAAATCTTGCAAAACATCACACGTGCAAGTTTGTGAGTACTTTTTTTTAATGTAGGTAGTAAACACCCATTAATTCAGAGGAAGGTGAATTCATTATAGTGTAATATATCTAGCTGACACAATGCTACACAGGGATTTTATTCTGTTTCACATTATTTTATATTATTCAGTATTCTGTGCTGCCTAGAGGTTAAAAATAATGTAAAAAACTACATTTACCAGGAACAGTACAACAAACATCAGGAACCTCAAGGCAACAGAAAATCTTTGAATTAAGGAGAATCTAGTTTACAGGAAAGGATTTTTCTGATTTGTGGAGTGCACAAATTTCTACTGTGATGTATGGGAATTAACTACACCAAAATTACTGTAATTCATAGTCTTAAAATAAAATCATTGAAAGGTCTTGTTGCATTTCTTTACCACTATGTAGAAGTATATCCATCCCCCACAGAGCTACCTAATTCTCTCCATACATAAAGAGAGATGCATGTCTTACCTATTGAGTTAGGTATCTGAAGAAGATATTCTAAACTTGGTCTTTAACACTAATCATGTAGAAAATAATGTTTTTATTCAATGTGATTCACAATAAAGCTTGAACACTTTTCTTAAAATAAAAAAAAAAGTATTTATTAAGGACTGTAAAAGGAAAAAAACAGAACTATGTTAAATCTCTAAGTAAGCACTTAACATTTTTAAAGGAAAATTAAAAATTCAATTATTAATCCAGCTTTATTATAATATCTATCATATGTTCCTGAACTGATTTTCTTCAATTTGATTGAATATAATTTATAGGATAACCTGTTCTCATTTTGTGATATGTGGATTTATGTTTAACTGCTTTTCTTAAAACAAGGTTATACATTTTGTCCCATCCCCCCTATTAGCACCCAGAACTATTTCTGTATTTTTCACATAAAAGTGTGAATTGATTTCCAAAAGCTTGTAAAACTGAGTATTATCTTCACTATACTACATAAGATTTATTGCCCTTGATTGATTAAATTCAAGAGTTTCTAGAAATTCTCAGTGTCCAGTATAAGAAATGCAGGATCTGATTTTGCAGTATGTTTATATTGCACTTTATACATTCAAAGCACAATCTTTATTGACTGCATTTGCACTTCTATAAATCAGACCCTACAGTCTCAAGTTAGACACCTAGAAAATGAGAAATTTGTAGTTGGTACTCTTCTCTGAGTTTCACTGACTTAACTACAATCAGAAAATTATATTCCCATGCGAGTACTCTGCTGTCTAGGTCACCAAGTAAGTGCTTTATCTAGAAGATTCTTCCTTTTTATACAGTCTTTCAAAGATGGAAAATTTAGGTCTACTCTGTGGATCATATAAAGTAATTCAAAATAACTAGTGGCACCTGTGAGTTGTCATCCATTGTGAAAATTAGTATGCTAGACAGATGTGATAGATACAGCCTTACTTAATGGATTTCACAGGTATTTGCTTACAGGGAAGGCAATCTCTGTGCTAAAGATGGCCAAAACCTCTTAGGAATTACGCAGAGTTCTAAGGACAATTCTGTGCAAACTGAATCATCTTAAAATTTTAGCAGATTTTCATGGGGAATTAAAGAGATTTCATCATTTCAGTTTCTCAATCAAAACAGGCTTTGTTAAAAAATAAAAAGCAGCATGTAAGTAAAATTATGTAATTGTTTCCTGCCTTTAGTCTTTGAAATAGCTGTATCCCTTCAGCTACCTGTTTGGGGAGGAGGGGTTCTTGCTTGTTTTTAGTAGACTGGGATAACATTTATTAAAAAAATGGATTAAATTATTTCTTTGTTAAACTATAACAAACTACAAATACTTGGAGATCTAAATTTTTGTTTTACTCTCATGACAAGGTATTGCTAATGTGCCCCTGCCATGTTATATGACTGTCAGAATCAAATTAGGAGGGATGATTGGCAGTGCACAGCTTTCAGGCACCATGGTAGGCAGTTTTCAGCTCATTCTTGAAGTTATTAGGAACGGTTTGATTGCAGCTCCAAGTGGCAGCTTATAAAGTTTCTGTTTCTATCATTTCTGATGTTTTCCTGGGTAGTATGTATGAAGTGGAGAAAGAAATTTCAGAGGCAATATAGTTCTTTACTAAAAGTTAATGAAAACTGCAAATGAAAACCTCGGACAGTGGAATGAGGTCATATGTGTATTGATTTTATTTTGGTTTATGTCTTCTTACAGGTCTAGATATCCCATCAAAGGAATCAAATCTAAGTGTGGAAGCTTATTATACATTCATTGTTGAACTTAAGGGAAAAATACTTCTGACTGAGCTCTTCTTCATATTTTAATTAATAATAGAAGATGACAGCTCATATGAGAGATTTTCAATGTACAAATAAAAAATGACGACAATTCAGCCACTGAAAACATCTGGGGAAATAATTTGCTGCAAACTTTTAGCTCCCAGCTTCTGTTTACTTGAAGCAAACCAGGAAAAATAAATAACATTATCATTTTATTTCTTGTGAATTTTATGCACTGAAAACACAAGTATTCTTTGTCTCAGATACATTTTGTCAGAATGCAGTGGTGAACTAGAGTCTAATAAGACTTTATATGCTACTTTAGGAGAGAAAATAAATAGGATGGTACTGTTAGTTTCTGTCTGTTGGACTAGGGAGATATTATTTGGAGTAGATCTCTGACAACAGTTAATATCAAACTGCAATTTTCTTGTCTAGAAATGGTTTTTTTAATGTAGTGCCTTAATACATTAGGATCTTTAGCTTGATTTAAACATTGCGGTGTAATGTTGTATAAATATTTCCTAATAATAGCCACTACTTACTGAAGCTAAGTGTGGGGGAATGCTTTTCTCGTGGCTTCTGGGAAGAACCAGAAGTAGGTATTCAGGTCTGAAAAACAGAAGAAATAGAAATATTGCAGGCAAGCTGTACTAAAAATATTGTAAGGTTCTTTAATGAAAAAGATGTCATTACTTGCCAAAGTCTTCACAATTAGACACAGTCTTAATATTAAAAGATATCTTCTTTTCAATATTCTGGAATAAGTTAAGATCATCATTTCTCCTACTTTTTTTTACTGTAATTGGATGCAGAACAAAAATCTTTGTCAATCCTGTTGACACCTCTACTAAATTCTTATCTGGCTTTGAATTTGCTTTCAGAATATTAATGATGATTTTTATAGCCTTGCATAGTCTGAGATTTGAATTTCTAAGAGCTTATTGTCATTCATCTTGCTATCCGTTACTAAGCTGCAAGGTTTGGACTACCCTGGACTTAAATACTTGTGTAGCTTTAATATACTGATAATTCTAGAATTATCTCTTATTAACTACCCATCTAGTATAGTCACATGTGTATATATATATATGTATATATATATACTATATCTGTGCCATTCAGACAAAAGTAACAACAAAGAAGACATGCAAAGACAGTAATGCTGAAAATAAACCCAACAAAAACCATTTTTTGATAGATCATCTTTCACTTGGGAGAACAATATAAACTGTCAGTTCAAGAGCTGTTATCCTGCTATAAGTTCTCTCCATTTAGACTTTGTTGGTACAGTCACGCTGTCAACCCATTCCTTATCTAGACAGTCTTTCTTAGCTCTGGAATCTGACAACATGGGTAGATAATGTGTTAATAAGTGAGTGTGACTATTCAAATCAAGAAATTCATTTACCCACACCTTAGCTCCCAATATTCATTGGTAAGGTCTTAATTTAGAGAGAGCCTTGTGTCCTAAAGATTTACTTACATCGTCAGATTTTGAGTCCTGCACTACAGCTCAGGTGTTCGGTGGTTTGTTTATTTTATTTTTTCCAGTACTGCTCTGTAATAAAATAAAAAAAGTATAAGAGTAAGTTTATATTCCTGTATTTATCAGCCCTATCTTTGTATAATCTACCTGATCCTCTCTGTGTTCTCTGTACTCGTTATGATGAATGCCTTATGCAAATCAGAAATTTCTAATCTCTCTACTTCACCTTGAAAGAGCAAAGAGACACTTCAGGACTCTCATAATTAGTAATTTCAAACTTCATAAATGGGTACATTTCTATTTTTACACAAAACATACTTAGCTTTGTGGAATTTACCCACCCACAATATGTTGCTGAGGCTGAGTGCTACCTATGTCTATCCAGTCAGCCACTCACTTTTGCATAGCTAACCTAAATACCCACAGTGATTTTAATATACCTTTGTAAAAGAAAGCTTGTGGGGAAAATATTAATTTTCACTCTCTTCATTACTATGGATCAAGAAAAGGTTTTCCATGTCAAACATTATTCCACGCCATCCTGATGTAGTCTTTTGAACTTTCTGTTCTACATCTACCATAAATCTACCATCAGTAAGACACCACAGTAGTGAGACAGGGTGAGAATACTGGTACATGCTGACTCCAAAATGCTGGCAGAGCTGTGGCAGTGAGCACACAGCTACCCTGGCTCTAAGCATAGAGGCTGTGCACAGTAGAGGAGGATGTTTCATGCATGGGTTTGGAGGTCAGTCACAGTGTGGGAGTGGCAGGATGTTCTGTGAATGAAGATGAGGCTATCAATGAGAGCAATAATGGACACTGTAGGAGTGCTTAAGCTGGAAGAATGCAGAAGCTGAAGCTCAGAAAAATGATGGTACAGGAAAGAGGTGGTTTCCATAAAGAGCACAGTCCATATGAAAAAGCAGGATTAGTACTGCCTACTCTGTTGAAAAAATCAACAAGAGGAAGAACAAAGCATTGTCCACTGCCAAGAGGTGGCTTATATATACCACTTGAATGACTGTGTGTCCTGTGTCCAGGAAGGGAGCAAGAGCAACATCTACCAATGATCAGTGGAGCAGATTTAGGAGTTACGATTCACTTCTTTGCCCTAGGGATGTGCCTCAATGAAAGCTCTTTTTCCTATTCAATTTTACAGGGTTTAATAGAAATCTGTATAACCATAGTTTTGCTGCTGATAGTAATTGAAGTTGTGACTAACTATTCTAATGAACACAGATTACATGACAGATTTTGCTCACTTTTTTGAACTTATTTCTATGAATATACTAGAATTATCTTAACCTTAATGTAGTATAAGTTCATATGAAGTAACTGTCCTTTCCCAACTGTTCTGAGAATAGTCAGAACTGGTCTAACAAGATCCTAGAAACCTGTCTTAGGATCATAACAACAGCTACATATGGTATGAATTTTTTTTTCAAATTTGCGTCAGTGCATTTCTAGAATTAACATCCTCCTTAGCAGAATATAGTTTGCTGCTAGATATAACTATACCCCTATGTAATCCAGAGCTTGAGCAAGGAACCACCCCATTAATGGAGCATACCCATTGCTCTCAGAAGTCGAATGGACCTTGTTTTATTTGAGACAGGAGTTTGGGTGATTCTGACTGGCCTACATTTTTGGAGAAAAACAGTAAAAGACTAACCTACTAATTTTTCTAAGGGCTACATAAACCTAATTAGAAATGTTCAGTGCCACAAGGGCACGAAACTGTAGCTGCAAACGGCTATTTAAATATTAATTTCTGCCCCTAAAAAAGAGAAGAAAGAAAACATCTAATTTTGTCAAAGCTTTCAAATCTGTGGAAAAAAGATGATCACAAAATTATTAAAGACTAGTATGTGATTGCTTCACTATATCCTGCAAAGTTAAACTCAGCCTCACAATAGCATTGAATTCATACTCAGCGAATGTGAATGCAATGAGTGAAGTAATGAATGTGCTTTACTGTGAGACTGAGTTTTACTTTGTGAATTACATACAACTTAAACAATGCTTAATATAAGAAGGAAAGATATTGTCACTAATTATTGTTGTTTTTCCTTCTGTATAATAACAACTTTGATATGTAATAATTGCTGTCCATAAATTACTTAATCATTTAAATTATTTCTTACAGGTTTTAAAATCATCATGCCTAGTTTTCCTTTTTCTTTTTTCAATTTCTCTTTTTTGATGCAGGCTGAACTGAAAAACTGGAAACAAAGTACCTCTCTAATGCTTTTCTATTATTTGCCAACAGTGCACTCTTTTTCTGTTGATATTAAAAAATAATATAGTAAAGCATATTATTTGATACTGAATACTATCAGGTAAAATTGAGTAGCAGCTGCCAGATTTATGTCTTGTACTAGTTAGTAATCATACAGTATAATTCAGCTGCTAGAGTTAAAAATGCAGGTAGCAATAGTCTTGATTTTGGTTTAATACTTCAATGATTGCATTTTCAGCATTTAATAAAACTCACTATTAAATCATTCAATATCATCAGCCTATTTTCTTGCTTCTTTCTTTTCCTTCCATGGTATGTACTCTTTCTGTAATAACAAGAGTAAAAGGTGAGATGTCTCTCTCTTTCTGGAACAATCCCAAAGCAGTCTGAATCATGTTTTAGTTCAGGAGGTTTGTGTCTCAATTCTCAGTTCAGATTTGACCTCAGGCTTAATGGAGCTCACACAACTGTGGGAACACTGACCATAGGAGATAAACAGTTTTTAATGATATTGTTCACAGTGCTGGTACCATTAGGGGCACCATCCTTAGATTGCACTAATGCAAGTGGTTTTGTTAAATGCTACATTTTTCATAGGTCGTGCCATCCAAATGAGGAGCAAAAGGAATTTTCTTGGTCAACATTTTTCTGTTATATGTCAAAACATAGGAGACAGTCAGATCTGTTGTTTAGGGTTGCTTTTTTAATGCATTGTAGTTACTTCACCTTGGCACTGGCCTTTTATCCACAACATCCCAAAGGTACAAAGAAGCTTTCTACATAATGAAGTTTTCTTTTATTACTATTTTCTTCCCCGTTATCATCATCAATTATGGTTTGCAGTTGTTAGATATCTCTTTTGTAAAAATCAGTGTCTCTTAAGTGGTCTGTCTTTCCTATCATTACATATATTGCTTTTCATTTGGATTGACTGGATTTAGAAAGGCTTAGACATGCTTCCAGTTTGTGCATAATAGTGAAGTCTCAAAATTTGTTGAAATCGCTTATTGACATTTTCCTTTGTGCTTCTGGTCCAGTTGCTAGCTGAATTAAAATTGCAGGATTACACACACTTACATTAGAACACACTTGAAATTACTGCGTATATTTTGAGAGTGTTTTTGAGTAAGCTATTTTCTTCCAAGTAGATTCTTTCCTTCCATGGAGACCTTCAGGTTTTCTTTTCAGAGATAGTCCTAGGAAGGAGCAGGCTACAACCTCACTGGTAGCCTGAGCAATGCCAGGGCACTGGTACAAGTCTGGGAACTGGACTGTCTGTAGGTGTTTACTCTCATTTTGGCTTAGGCCAGACAGCCCTTTAAATAATAGTTCCATGCCAAGGTCAGGACTTTAGGCAGGTCAGGTAATTTTCCAGCTTGTGATTTAAATGCTGGCACTTTCTTTCAGAGGTGAAATACCTTTCTGATAGACCACAAGTGCAAGCATCCTTTGGTTTACCATCAAAGCTATAACCCTTCTCGTATTAGAAACATGAAAGTGCAAAGGTTTTTTTTCAACCCTTTCAGGCATAGAAACTGACTACTGATTTATTTCCTTTTGCAAATATGAACAGTTCATCATACAGTGATATGCTCTAAAATGGCCCTAGTTTATCAACTATGCTCTGAAAACATAGTTGTCTATTTTCTTCTCCTATACCCACGTGTTTAAGGCTTACTCAGGGTAAACCTAAACTACCTTCTCTCTGAGTAGCTCTGCTCAAGCCCAAAGGGCAGCTTCTTTGTTGTGTATTGTAAATTGCAGCATGAACCAGAGCACATCTCCCACCACATGGCTCTTAAAGCAGCAAAGAACTTGGCATGATCACAGGAAAGATCTTTAACTAGAAGAATTAGGACAATTACAGGTGTGCATGGAAGTACTGAAATCTCGATCTCGTAATAAATGAACCCAAATGAACTGAAAAATTGCTGGATTCCTTTATTTTTTCCCCTCCTGCTCTCAACAGTGAATTCACAATGTTAGTGTTCAATTTGAAAATAGAGGAATGATTAGTGCTACTAGCAACAAGAATAATGAGAACAGGATGTTGAATACAGTGGAGTTTTTTTGTGTGCAGCACCTTTGATAAACCAGCCATAAAACAGGGCTCTTAGTACTGTGGCAACTATATGAAGAAAAAGTTCCCCCTGCTGAATTTTTTTGGGCTTTAAACATAGCACTAACTTTGCATATTTAGCAGAATTTGCCTTTCAAAGACACAGACATGCTTTCTGCTTCCAGAAAATAATGCGCTGAAGGGTTATCATGGACTTGGCAATCAATTAGAAGAACGCATTCCCAGGGAATATTTATGTATAAAAGCTACCAAGTTGCTCCTTTGCTGCTCCTTTAGAAGAATGTCTCATTGGTTAAACTCTGTTTCAGATAGTATAACAGGCTGAATTTTCCTGCTTTTCAGTGGATCTACTTTTTTATATCCTTCACTTGCTCGTGGTGCTCAAGCAGAATGCCATTGTAAAAGAGTACTTTTTCAAATAAGAACTCGGGTCATTAGATTATGCAGAGAATCCCACACCACAGAACTTCAGTGTAATGAGAACCACTTGACTGCAGACATTTGGTGGTAATGTTCATAGCTAGAGATGGACAGCAAATTAGGCCCGCTGTGTTACATGCATTGTCCTGCTAGTGTGAGGCATATTAACTGAATTCAACTCTGCAGTCAACAGATTCCTTTCCTCCTCTTAAATGTATAACTCACTGGTGGGCAAGAGAGACAGCAGGAAGCAGAAGGGCAAATGGAGAAAGAATCTAATCATTATGCACAATACATTTTGAATGCTTGTTGTCTATGATCATTTGGTCATTCTGAATTTTAGAACTCAACTGAATTTTGTAGTTTTGTAGTAAAAAAAAAAGTTTAGAGTTATACTTAAAAGATACATATATTGATTATGATATTCAGAAAAATGTAAGTAGTCATATCTATTTAAAAATATTGCCATTAATGGGAGAACTAAATAACTATGTTAAAATAGTATTAAAATGACAAAACATTTCACTAAATGTCAGAACATTATTATTTGCTTTCACAACAAACTTAGAGAAGAAATAAATTAAAATCAGACTTTTCTTGTTCAATTACATTTACTAACAAATGAAATTACATCTCAAAAGTTTCTAAAAGGATATCTCAGTCATACATTTTCAAAATAATATATTTTAAATGTTTATAAATTTAAGTTTGAGTAAATTCTCATGGCAGAGCAAAACTCACATTCCTTATATCAAAATGGCAGCCAGTCTCCTGTTTCAAAAGTTGTATCCCTTCACTAAGAATACACAGCTTGCTGTTTCTCATTGCTGCTATTTCAGTAGTTTCAAACCAATTCCACAAAATCTCAGATGGTGACTTGGACAGTGTCATCCCATATTTATCATTGGGCAAATCTGCAAGCAGACAAAAAGAGATATTCATTAGGGAAAGAGATAGGAAGCTTAGCTATAAGAGACAGGTTTTAAGACCACTCTGCAAAAGTCCACTGTGAAGTTTATACCAGCTTCCATCCTAAGCATATTATCCTACTAATGGTTCTTTCACACTCCATTTACCCATCCCTCTGATAGTTAAGTATCCTGTAAACCAGAGTGCAAACCCTTTGGGATACAGGGCTACCCCATGAGTTTGTATGCTGCTCAGCACGCTGGGACCCAGGCCTGGATGGGACTTTCGGCTGTCAGCACATTTTGAAAAATCACACTTAAAGATTATTCAGTTATAACATTACAGACAGGAACTGTGTTATGCTGTACTTTTGAGGTCAGTTTTCCCACATAACAGTTCTCCTCAACAAGGTTTCCTCTTTCATTAGTGCTTTTTCCCTTTTTATCAATATGTTTCCTGCAGCAAGACTCACAGCCTTCCTTCCTTCCTTCACAGAGAAGATTCAATAACTGACAGCTGCTTTAACAAATATTCAGAAATTAGTTATCTCATTCATTTCATATATTTGGTTGTTTTTCAGTGAAGAACTAAAAACACATAATTTTCGAGCCTGGATACTTATACTATAAAACTAGATTTTAGGGTGATGCAATTTGTATAACATCCCCAGAATGATAAATATTCATCTTCAAAAAAGGCATACTTTTTAAAGAGATATATTTTACACTTATCAGATTCTGGAGAGATGTTTACAGCTGCAGATAAAAAAGCAAGATGTTTATTAGTCTGATTTCTTTCATGAGTGTTATTTTACAGCATTTAATTATTTAAGTAGTGAAGGATCCTTTCACCAGTCAGTTTACAGAATGAATGGCTGTCTCAGAAAGATTTAAGGAGAAAGAAATGCATGCATGACTATATGTTGATCGGTCAATTTACTGTAGAAATTGAGTAAAACTTGATTGTCATTCAACAGAAATTGCATAATATTGTTGATTGGTAGGTAAATGCCATTAAGTTAAGGATATTGTTAATCAGATAATTTGAGATATTACATATAAAACCTATTCTGCTAGTATGTCTTTCAGAATGTTAGCTTGCTCAGGACACACAGTCATTTGCATGATCACTTCAGTTCCTGAAGAGCTTTGTGCTCTCCACTACCAAAGTGAATACCTTATAGTGTTCCATCAGCAAATGGGGGAAGGTGATTCATGATATACTTCTAAAAACTAGGGTTTTGTTAGCCTCTTTTTCATTTGGCTTGATCTCTTGTGAAATGTAGACACTTCTATCTGACTTCTCATATTAATATAAACCTAATTCATAAATATACTTGAAGTATAGGTCTGTCAAGGGAATATATTACTTCAACTCTCACAGTATAAACTATAAATAGTATGGAACTTCAGCATATGAAACACAACATTACACAAAGGCTATTAATATTGACCTTAAATCTTATTGTTCGTTTCAGCTTTCTTATGGTATGATTTTGAGGTTCTTGTCACTATTAATTTAGTGATTTAACTAAAATTGTGGAAATAAATATACTTATGAGCTACAACAGCTATTTCCAGCTTAGCATGGCAGCATCATTTTTCTTCCAAAGCCAATGGTTGTTTGTCTACAATGTTTTGAGGTGCTAGAAAGAATTATAATGAATGAAAACACATGTATGTGCTCAGTCTGTCTTTAAAAGTGATCATAGTGGGGCTCTCCAGCAGATGACACGCTGAGATAATTTGCTCTATATTAGGTTTTAGTGGCTTGAGAGCATGGCAAAGCACCTGATGACAAGATCAGCACATAGCACTAACAGTAATTATGTGACTGAGTTAATTATTTTATCAGCTCAATGTGAGCAGTTTTTTCTCATCTTGTCTTTCCATGACAGGAAAACTAAGTTGAGCTTAAATCCCATGTGTTCACAATGTTGGGCACTTCCTCCAAAATGATTACTTCCTGCTGAGTAGGAAGTGTTCGGAAATTAAATAAGTTAGGTACATCTCAGACTCAGAAATGAGCTGCTTTTACATCACATTCAAATTACACAGATTTTCTAGGTTGACAGTTGGACTCAACGATCTTAGAAGTCATTTCCAACCTAAATGATTCTATGGTTCATAAACAGAGTGTTTTTCTAAGGTGAAGCTAAAAAATCATCAATTGCCCTTCTTATTTAAAATCAGCCACACTGCTGCAGCATCAAAGCATACTAAATAATCCTGCTGTGATCTAAATACTAACATCTCTCGAGTGTAAAGAAAGAAAAAAACAATTTCTTCTATGGCTTATGATTTAAACAACTAGCATGGACAAAGGAAGTATTATTCTCCTTCCTTCCTATACATTTTATTAATGAGGGATGGAAATAGAGGAAATATGCTCAGACCAAGAACAGCAATCCAGCTCTATCAGCTTGATGTCTACATTGATATATTCATCTAGAACGAGGGCCACACAAATGTCAATAAATTGCTGGTGAGAACTTGCACTATCATCCCTCTATGCAGGTACCACCAGATTAACCAGTGTGAGGGACTACCCACTGTCAGAGCAAACCTTAACTGTTTCTGCCTCAGGTCAAGTTTCCCAATCAATTCATAGGCACAGAGACAGACTAAAAGACAGCTTCAGAGACAGGAACTGGGCTCTCACACTGTTTATTTTACTATTATAGATATGTTTGAAGACGCCTGGTTAATAATATACTGAGTACTCATGAGAATAAAATAGGATGGAGTCCCTCTTTTTCCAATTCTGGGAGTACTTCTTTAGCCATAAAACTGGGCAAACCAATTTTCTTCCTCCTGGCTGTTATCTTTTAATGTCATCTGTCAAAAAAGGAGAGCTTGAATACCAACAATCACAGATATTGCTGTAGTTGCAAATTCTTTCCTGTCAGGTTACAAAAACTGTCATTTAAAAGCACTTTGAAGGGACTCATGGTTTTGAGGTATATCAAGAAAATAACCTTACCAATGTTGTCAGGGCTTGACATTGGATGTGAAACCAAATGAGGTCAGGAAGTCAGAACTCAATTCACTGGGCTATAAGCAAATTCATTTCAACCACTTTGACACAGTGTGGTGGGTCTAGAGATAGATCTGTTCTTGAAAGCTTTTCAACCTGTGCATTTTAATGCCTCATACATGCAGTCAGACTCACTGGAGAAGAAATTCTCCAGACTCACTGGAGAAGAAATTCAACCACAGAGGGCTGAACCATCAAGGGCTAACAAATGACACAAGAGTTATTGAAAGTCTCAGTATTTTTCTTTCTCTTCTAACTTATCAGAATCCTGGCTAAACTAGATATGAATTCCAGCATTTCATCTCTACCCAAGGGATTGTCCTTGATAATTCTTAGATATATTAAAGCTCCTGTGGTACTTTCTCTCTGATTTCATCCCAAAATTTACTTGTGACTAACCTGTCTTAGTAATCCCTTTTGTTAAAAGTGACCACAGATGTAAAGGAAAGATTTTTTTTTTTACCACAAAGAAAGAAGAATAGAAAAGGTAGTCACACATTCCCATAGAGATGTGCATAAAGCTAAAGTAATATTAAACAAAACAGCAAACTCAAATACTTTTGTTTACCCTTTTAAAAGTGAAATTAAAGTAAATTGATGGGAAGAGGTTTGCAAACTGATGTCAAGACATCTGTTTTTCACAGTGGAAATCTGTTTAACTGGTAGAAGTCATTGCCATAATACATTACTTAGTTCTAGAGCTTGGTAAGCTTTAAAATAACTAATCCTTTACATGGATAATGGGAACACCCACTGTTATAGTAGATAGAAAGTAATGATTTTGTTCAGAATGGTAATAAATCTTCATATTTTTACACAGAAACATATCATTAGCTGTCAAACAGTGAGAAATAATTTCCGTGCAACCCAGTTACTTTAAAAGAAATGTTCATAAAATTAGGATTTTGGTTTTTTGGTGAATAAAATATCCCATAAAACAACAAAATGCCCATGTATATCTTCAATGAGTCAAACAGGGAGAACAAATGATTGGTGAAATGTGGTGTGTATTATACAGAACCTCCATGTTTATTTGCAATAATGTTTAAAATTAAATGGATAGCTTGATAATATTTAAAGTAAAATAATTTAAAAAAAATATACATCAAATTTTAAAGACTGTCTCTGAGACTGACTGCTGAGGATTCTCAAGGGCAGGTTGCTGGGTTCCTTCCTGAGAGCGAGGCTGGCTGTTGTCACGTGTCCCTCCGGTGGCACACAAGGTCTCTAGGGCTGATATACCTACAAAACATCCCAAGAGATGCTTGAGGAATGAGTAGTGGGATCAGTCCTGACTACCTGCAGAAGCTACTTTTACACAGCAGGTCATGATTTATGTCATTGCAAATTAAACACCTTAAGCAGATCAGTAGGACATACCCTAAATATCCTTATTCATCTGCACCATTTAGAGCTATTTTAAAAAGGCATACAGTGCTATTACATGGATGGTACCTACACATTCCCTTTGTAACATCAGATATCTATTTTCCTCACTGCTAAATAACCATTATTTACTTTGGCACCAGTCTAGTTTTGTTTTCACAAGGTTTCTTCAACCTCCTTCATGCATTCCACACAGCTTAGTCTGCATGAGAAGGCTGCAATGTATAACATTATTTTAATGCAATTATAGAATCTTCTGGGAGACCCTGGTGGTGTAGTGAGTAAGGGCGCGGCGCTGTCACCGCCGAGACCCGGGTTCGATTCCCGGTCAGGGCCACTCCCCGGGCAGATGGAGCTCGTTAGCCCTGTAGGCAATCCACCTACGTCCTGAGGACCTCGCTGCCACCATCCAAGCTCGCTTGGCCCCGGCAGATGAACTTTAGGATTAAAGGGTGGGCTCAGTTCCGCGCACACTGTGTCTCACCTAAAAAATCCAATGCGCAGGCTGGAAGGTGTAAAGACCTTCCCTGGATCTTCGCTCGCGAATACTGGCCATTATTTATTACAGAGTCTTCTGTTAAATGGGTCATGAAACAGCAAATGAGTTTCAGTCAGTTCAGTTGATACAGTTTTTGGAGATGATATTGTGCCTGACTATAGTTTGACTGCTCACCTGTAACCAGAAGAAAAATTAGAACAGTTTCAGAAACTCAAAAGTTGTGCTCGAAAGGATCTCTGCTTCATTAGGCATAATGCACCAAATACCTTTTCAATAAACTGTTTTAATCAAAACAGTTTGAGACTGTTTTGACTTGGAGTTTAAATAATTTCAAAAAAAAAACCCACAAAACCCTCACAAAAAATAAATTAAACAAACAAACAAACAAAAAATCATCTAAAACCCCTACAGTTATTAAATATCTCACTCTTGAAATAAAGTTTTGCAATACATTTTTTAAATCAAAACTACTTCTAATAAACTCCAGTACAGCAATGACTATATACATAGTCCAAATCAAACATTTAGGAAATCACATGGTGATAAATGTTTAAATTTCATTATATTCAAAGATAAACAATACTGTGCATAGGGTTTATTTGTTTATCTGTTGAATCTTAAGATGGTTTAGTTTCTTAGGTGACCTAAAAAGTGAAACAAATAATTATGGCTCATCCACTTTTCTTTTTTAGACATTTTTCTAGAACTTTTTTTCTCCCTAATGGAAGAAATAAGGAAAGTTCTAGGTATGTATGATCACTTCAAAACTTGGAAATTCATTGTTTCTTTTGCCTCAAAGATAATTTTCAGCCCACTGGTTAAGAAATTTTTCAGAAATGTGCAGAAGCAGGCAATACTTTCCTTAGCTTTTACAAATCATGCTTCAGTTGGTCATGGTTGTAGCCTGAGTTGGCTTGTTTCATGTTTCCAAACACTATTCTTTCTTCTAACTCAGCTTAAATTCAATATTAACTTCAGGCAACCTAAAGATACATTTGTTTTAGAAAATAGACATTGTAAAATATTTGTTCAGACACAATGCTGAGCCCTCAGGGTTCAAAAAGAGCTGAAGAGAATGCAAGAAATATAGACAACATTAGTAACTCACTCTGCTGTGTTAGAGAAACACCCAAATATATAGGAATGGTTACTGTGAAGATCTACGCTAAATGACCTGACTGGCCTGATATAATTTATTCTCATTAAAGGCAACAGAAACATTTTAATCAACTCTTTTCAAAGTGGTATTTTAGAAATCCCCCTTTTGAAATGAAAACCTATATGTATATGCCAGATGACTTAGCTCACATAAAGGTGTGACACTGGAGAAAGCTGAGTTTCTTGAACAATTGGCTTCAGGCTCAAAACATTCTTTTTTCTTCTGCACTGAACCAAGTTGTTTGGGCTCTTAAATGGCAGCTAGAGAAAACTGGCAGTCTGGGCAGTCAGAAGTTCTGATTTATTTCAGCCTGTTCTCTTTAACTATGCCACTAGTGTAGAAATATTTTTCAAAACATTCTCCCTCCAACTTTTTTTTCTTTCTAAGTCTCTTAAGCAGAGACTGACAGTTTTCATATTCAAAGAAATCCAACCTGACTGAAGATTAATATGCTGATGTCAACAGCATAAATTCACAAACTTATGTGTTCTGTAGTAATTTTAAATATAGCTAGCAAAACAATCTAGACACGGCTTACTCATCTTCCTCCAGAAAACAAAAATAATTTCCAAGATTTAGTTGCTTCAAAATTCGTATGAACAAAATAACATTTACAATAAAAATAGGAAAAATAATGACCACTTTCAGGATACCGGAAACAAAATCCACAAAATGAAATATAAAGAAGAAAAAATAGCTTCTGAAGGTGTGTAATGAAATGTTACAAATAGGGAATTGCAGCAAAAAGCTAACGGATATAAATCTAGTAGGAATCAATTCTCCTTTCCAGTCATATTCAACCTTAATAAGAGAGCTTTAATAGGCTCATACCTTTCTGCCAATTTCAGAAAAGACTGCTACTGATCAATAGCGTTTATTTTAAAGAAAAGAGCAAAGCTAGGGGGAAATGCTGGTAACTGGAAACACATTTCTTCTCAGAAGACAGCTGAATAATGGTATAAAGCTGTGTGAAACACAGAGGCAATATACCAGATAATCACCACTCCTGTCCATCACTCATAAAGCTTTAATTTCCAATTATTTATCATTTTGTTTATTTTTCTATTTAGTACCTTAAAGAACATGGACTAGTTCCTGCTGCTTGGAACAGTGTATTTTCTTGATTTTGGGATAGCAAACTTCCTACAGAATTTGCCTCAGGGAAGAAATTCTCACTATTACATGAGATATGGAGACAGGACCCTGGACACAGTTCACTACAGAGCATATTCCATACTGTGAGAAGCCTTTTTGTCTCAAATCCAGGCAACAGACTGAGACCCTGCAAGCCCTGTTTTTATGCCTGGCTTTCAGAAGTGCTTCTGGTTCTGCTGCTCTAGTCCTCCAGATCTCTGTTTACATGGAAAGCCCCCTGCCTTTCCCTGATTTCTTTTTTAAAAGGGTTTTCTTTAAAACATTCATTATTGTTATTTCTCATCTCATGCTTCAAAAACTTTGTAGTCTAAATAGAGAAATAATTTTATGAGCTTTATTTGCTACTCTCTAGCCTGTTCTCGTGGCTTTCGGCTTTGAGTTTTCTGTTTTCGTCATTCAATATTTCCTTTTGTTTCCCTTCCTAGCACACAATTGCACCATTACTCATTATTAGTTCATTGAATTCACAGCTGTACCTGTCAATAAAAGAGGGTAGGGAGTGTTCTCTGGCAGAGAGGTGACTGTTCCAAGTCATTAAAATCCTTTATTTCCAGAACAGGGTGGCCATACCCATGCTCTTTGTTAAAAGTGATTGCTGACCTAGGAGACTGTGACAGTGCTACTTGGGACCAGGCTAAAATGACCTCTGTGAATCACCAAATTCTGGGACCCAGGCGTGGACACTGTTCAGATTAGAGCCTCCTGTTTACATCAGAATGGGGCAGGCACTGGTTTTTGTATTTGGGTTTTTTTGGTTGGTTGGTTGGTTGGTTGGTTTGGTTTTCTCGGGGGGGGGGGGGGGGGAAGAGTGTTTTGGTTTCACAGGCTTTGTTGTTATTTTCTGTGTCTGTGTGTGTGTTAATGATAATTTGTTTCTTTTCTTCTATTAATATTTCCAGGAAAAATAGAAGACTAGCATTCCCCCGTAAGTCTCCCAAGTATTTTTACAGTTGGCTTATTTCTGCCTCTCTTCAACCAACCAGTTTCACATCCTTTTTTTTTGCATTTGCTGCAACCATCAAGGTGTTCCAGCCTGTTTATTGGACTAAAACTCTAAACCAAAAAAAAAATACAAATGTTTGCTGGAGCAGTTTTGGTTGATCAGAAATTATGGCTGGATAAGAGCAGAAGCCTGACACTATTTGCTGCCCTTCCTGGGAAAAAGATGGTGCTGCTGCCTCTGTTGATTCAGGGATTATAGTTAAGGAAGAAAGAAAGCACAGATCAAAATAAAGCTCATGAAAAGCTGGGGTGATGTGTGTGTCCAGGACTAGGATTCATTCAGGGATTTTCTGTAATGAGTTGTGTAAGGTGATAGACCAATTTAAGGCCACGATGACAGTCCTGAATGGTTAAGGAAAAGACCCTGGAGGCACCTGGAGGGGGCATTCCCAGATACACATTGTAAGGTGGGTTGCTTGTTAAAAGGGGACAAAGAGACTCCTGGTGGCTTCCCAAAAGACCCCATCACGTGGGGGGAGACTTCGCAGCAACAGAGTGATAGGATGAAGGGAAGGATGGAATGATATGGAGACCATGTGGCCTTTCTTTGCAAACATCCTACCTGATGGGAACTCAGGACCCTTAGGCCTATGCCATCTGTCTATCATCCCAAAAATTAGTTTATTGACTATAGTCACTCAAACTACCTCAGCAAAAAAGTATAAAAAGAGATCAGACATGAGCAAAAATCAAGGAGAAGTTCTATCATTTCTGTGGGGGTAACTGATGGGCTGCCTTTTCTCCTTCCACCCCTCAGGATGCTGCAGGGCAAGCAACCATTTTTATATTTTACTTTGCTTTTGCCTTTACTAACTGTACTTTACTTCCTTATATCTTGTCTTATATATATATATATATATACATAAAAATATATATGTATCTTGATCCTTACCTTATAGACTGATTGTACTTTGCCTTATATATTTGATATTTTGCTTTGCTTATATATTTGACCTTTACTTTATAGATACTAATTTTACCTTGCCCTATACTTTATAGACTACTGTGTATAGATTTTACCTTATTTTTATCCTGTATTGTACTTTATTGCCTTAGATCCTGTACTCTGACTCGTTGTACATAGTTTGTCTTTAAGTGTGTATTTCTTTGTCTTAGTGAGTTAAAGTGTGTGTTAGTGAGAAGCAGCAATATTTCTCCCTTTTCTGCTTTGTGTTAGCAAGTGGCTTTAGATTTTGTCCTAGTTTTTGTAAATTGGTCTGTTGTGGAGGGGGTTGCTTGAATTTTGTATTGAAGGGTTATAGTGATCTGTTGCTTCTCAGGGACTTGTGTTGTTTTTGGAGAGTGCCCTTCTGATTTGGGGTTTATTAGTCAAGTGGAATTTTGCAGTTAAATGTTATCACCAACGACACAAACCCTATAAGTTGTCACAGATTTGTATTAATAAAAGTTATTTGAGATTTGTATTAATAAATGTTATTTTGTGAGCTGTTAGGAGTTAGTCCGTGGGGGTTTTTTGTGCTGGCAGTCTCATCAACAGCAGAATAACTCATAGGAGAAACTTGATGAGAAGGTTCTCCAGTGCTATTAAATGCAGTGCCCATAAATAGGGTATCAAAAGTCCTGTCCATCTCAGTGAACCTGTCAAGCAAAGGTTCTCCCCCTAAGGAGATGCTGGCAGACTGTTTTCGGACTTTAAATGCTTTGAAATCCTGGAAGGGGGACACTAATAGACAAAAAATATATTAATACAGGTGGGAGAGAAAATCCTTTATTTCTACCCCTTTTCACATGACAGGTTGTCTAATACCTGGGCAATGTCCTTGTGTGTATATAGGATTTTGAATAGCCTACAGACTGCAAAACAGGTAGAAGCAAGCACACATTCTATGACCAGGGC